CCGATGTGGGACTCGATCCCAGGACCCTGGGATCATGACCTGAGCCGAAGGCAGACGCTTAACGACTGAGCCACCCAGGCGCCCGAGATTGGATTATTTTATTTTTAAAAGCTTTTCTAATAATGGAAGACCTAAGGGAAATGAATGATAAATTTGGCTAACATAAAAATTTGGAAAATAACCATAATGCAGAAACGCTACAAAGATAAAAATGAACTCGGAAAAATATTTACGATGTGTTTGCTTGTTAAGGAGTGATGTTTTCATAACATATAAAGAGAGCTCTTAAAATAACTGAAACCCAGTAGAAAAATGGGTTGTAGGAATAAGCAATTCATACCCACAACAAAGACAGCAAATAGAAGAAAAATGCTCTGTCTCACTGAATATTAAAAGAATGGAAAAGTGAAATAATGCGGCAACATTTTTCTTGTATGAGATTGTCAAACATTTTAAAGAATTGGTAAGAGTGTGCATCAGCAGGAGCTCTCATGTCCTACTGGTGGAAGAGTAAATTGGTACAGTATTTTGTGTAGCAATTTGTCAGTATTTTTTCAGATTTCAAAATGTGTATACCCTTAATCTATCAATCCCACTTCTAGTAATTTATCGCATGAGTGTGTTGACATGTATATAAGATACATACCTAAGGATGTTTATCATAGTGGTGTTTGTAGTAGGAAAAACAAAATAACAGCAAAATAAAACTGGAAAGTACTTACTGTTCAGCAGTAGTCTTAGGACTGGTCAGTAAATTACGGTATGACTCTAGAGTGGTATACTTTTCTCAGCTATTCAACAGAATGAATTAGATTGGTTTTCATGTGGAAGGCTCTCTGAAAAACAGAGTAAACGCAAGCAGTAGCACAGCTTATGGGCCAAGTTTCCATTTGTGGTTTTTAAAAAATACAAACTAGAATTTGTACTTGTGAATGTGTGGAAGGATGCACAGGAAACTGTTGATGGTGGCAATCTTTTGGGTTTAAAGTGTGGGATAGAACGTGGGCTATTTTCATGGTATATCCCCTTTTGAACAGCTTGAATTTCATCATGGGCATGTGCAATTTTCAGAATAAAAATCATTGTCTTTTATGTGCATTAATTATATTTTTCTTGGATTTTTCCAGATTTCTCTTGCACTTTGTTTTGTTTTGATGTTTGGAAACTCAATGTTATTAACTTCTTATTATGCTTCCTCTTTGGTAATTATTTGGGTAAGTGTCTCTTAAGTACATGGCTATTTTTGAAACTAATGGTTCACCAGTTTTTAATCACTGGCTTGGGATTTTTGATAAGAATTTTTGATAAGAATCATCTCAGGTGTTTTACTGAATCCATGTGTATGTGATAGAGTATTCCAGTAGTCCCATCCCCAGGAAGAAAGAAACCCACGAGTTAATACTGGAAAACATAGCACCTTGCCTTATACCCCTACTTTGCCCTTTCTCTTTCCTCATCTTTTCTGTCACATGAGTTTTGGTCCAGGGTTCATTTTAGAAAGGTTTTGTGCTTTCTTCTTTTTCTTGTTTCCTCCCCTTGGCAGTTTTTCTCCTATTCCTGCTCCACTCTCTGACTCCCTTGCCTCCCTGTGGCATCTCGCAGCAGTCTCTCCTGGTTTCTCTGGGATCAGAGGCTTGGGGCCTTGGGTTCTTTTAGTTTTTTTACTCCTTGTGTCTATTTGTATAAAATATTTAAATAGATTAAATCAGGTGATGATTCGGTTATATTTTGCTAAATCACTACAAAGAGCAGATTTAGATTATCGGGAGACTGTCTTCTAGAATTAGAGCAAACAGTGAAAAGTCATCTAACTCCTTCTGCCACTTTTGGCAGGATGACTTTGTAAATAGAAGTCTTCCTACATTTAAGGACTTCCAGATGTGAGTATGCCTTTTTTATTAGTAGGTTTCACCATTACACTGTTTTTGCTAACCTAAGAGGAAAAAAATTACTCCTATATTTAAAGTGCACGTGCTTTAGTATTAGGCTGTTTTCCTGAAGAAAAAAGTATATGGTACTGTCTTAATTAAACTATATTCTGCTTCTTGAATAATCGTTTTAAGTTACCCAGATTATTTTGGCTTTCTTGACTTCTAGAACCCATGATCAACTTGGGAACTTCCTATTTCTTTGTCCTATTTCACAAATTATATTTAAGATCCTGTTTTCCAAGAATATGCCTCTTCCCAGTCTGGACTGCTACCCTTTTCAGGTTGTGTGGCTCAAGGGTACTTAGTTACAGATACTGGCAGTTAGGATATGAGGATGTGGGGTTTTCAGCAATGTCAAAAAAATCATTAATTGAGTTGCTGTACTTTGAGATTAATGATAGTTCTTATAGTCAGTGAATTCTGTTTATAATCAGGAAATGTAACAGTGCACCCAGTTCTATATTTACACGCGTACACAGGCAAGGCCTGCTATTACTTAAAGTACATGACTCTTAATACTTGTATTCAGGTGCCAGTAAAATCTAACCTAAGTCCATATGGCAGGAAACTTCAGTCCAGTACCTACAATGTATCAGGTTTTCTTTCAGGTGCTCGAAAGTAAGATGTGTCTTGGGTATAAATTAAGCATATTTATGTATATTTCATTATTTGGGTGTCTACACATGAATGATGCCAACAGTTACAGAATATAGAGAATGTATGCATATTTAACTATAAACACACATTTGCCTATTTTCGTTTGTGGTAATCTCTTTGAAACCTAAATCTTATCACTTTTTGTGTTCTCAGATATTCAGAAACTTCTGAAGAGATTTAATTTGGGTTCATGTATTTATGCTTTGATCTCCAATCATATTTTTTGCCAAGTTTGAAGTAGATTTAGCTTCCTGTAGGTACTATACTTGGTAGTCTGTTCATTTCCTAGAGAGAGAGAAAAGATTTGGTAGAGGAGAAATATTTAGTTGATCCATTAAAAACTCATTTGTAGTTTATTCTAAGAGTTGATCATTTTTAACTTAAGGAAAATCTTATAAGACACCTGTCTAAAATTCTGAAATTATTATATACCATATATAACAGTACACACACATATATATTATATACTATTATATATTATATTGCTTCTGAGATAAATCAGGGATGTAAAATCAGTCATAGAAATTTACATATGGTAATTCTGTTTTCAATTTTACAAAGTCACTAACTGGTCTAATCTGCTTTGGATAAAATAGAGCTATTTCTTAAAGTCAATGAGCTTGTGGTGATGCTATATGGAACATTGACAATGTGCTGAATTTTAGATTCTTGAGAGTCTTATTATTTAGAAATGTTTTTTGGTACTTGAATTTATGTATATAAGTATTAACTGTGTGCTATGTTATTTTCTCCATGAAGGGTATACTGGAAATGAAACCACATTTCCTGAAAATAAATGTATCCGAACTTAGTTTATGGGTAAGAATCAATCTATTTGAATGCATAAGTTTTTCCTTTTCTAAAATAAATATATCATCAGTTTTATGTTTTACTTTTAAGGAAATTATTCTTATGTAATGCAGGAGATCTAACAGGTTTATGATATAATTAGGGCTCAATTTTCCCTTTTCATGTGGCAAGTTAAAATTGGATAGGTGAAGAATTCTGGTTTTACTTATTTTATCACCCATTTTTCTTCTGGGGAGCAGTGCGTGTGTAAGAGACTGTTAGTAGAGGGGGAATGTAACTGCAATTGCTGTGTAAATCTATAAGATATGTTAATTTTGAAAGTATCATATGTGTATATTTTTATTTTTGGTGATAGCCCCTTGATTTTGGATAACATTCTTTAAGCTACATTGTTTAGCATTTTTTTCTTGGGTATGTAAATATTTCTTTCACATGTGATTAAAGTATTAATTTTTTTTCTTCCTCAGCTGTGTCTAAGGAATGTCTCTATGAAGCATTAGTTTATTTTTGTTTTGTTTTGTTTTCCTTTTGGAGGTTATCCAAGGATGTTTTTGGTTATTTGGAACTGTCGTACTCAAGTATTTGACATCTAAAATCTTTGGCATTGCAGATGATGTAAGTGCATTTTTTGCTTAAATTTGAAAGACTTGTAAAGAATCAAACAGGCTAAGAATGAATTACTTGAGTTATTAAAGTACCACTATTTAAGCCAAATTCTAATATGACGTCTATTCACTTATTATTTTATCTATTTACAGTAATAGAAAGTAAATGTGACTCTGTGTATAATCTCTATTCTCCAATATTAATTTCTTGACACAATTCTGTTATTTTAATCAGTCTTTCTGTATCACAAAGATTTTAAAATTTTAAAGCAAGAAAGCTCTAAAGACTTCAGCTCAAATTTTAAGGTCCATACAGGCATTTTTCTCTGGTTTCTTTATAATCTCCTTTGGTAACACATCAGTATGCCATCTTCAGAGCCTCTGAAACTATAGACCATATTATAGTCTCATTCCCCCAACCCCATTTCCTGGTCAGTGCTTGTGAAAGGTTTACTTATAGGTAATTTAATCCATTTAGTCTTATTAAGAGAAGGGTTTTTTGTTGTTTGTTTTGTTTTGGTGTTTTGTTAGGAGAGAAAATAAGATGAGAAGAATTCTGCTTTATAACTTTAAAGATTTTTCCTATCCATAATCTTGCTTTGCCTATTTTATTTTGGTGTTTTAGTAACACATTGATTAAATTTAAAAAGGAAGCAACACAACCACAGACACAGAAAGTGTAAAGCAAACCACATATTTTTTCTGTAATTTATTTTAATTGACTATCTTTCCTTCATCCATAATAGATTAAAGCTATAGTTTTGAAACTGGGTTTTGTGAAGTCCTGGAATTTCCAGACTCTTCTTTGGGGTCTGCCTACTTCCCAACCTCCTTGGCAGCCCCTCTTTTACCCAAGGCAGTTTAGGTTTAATTTCTTGTACATTGGACAATTATGCAGTTTTTCATTTGAACAAGGGAATTTTTTGCTTAAAAAAGATGGAAAGCAATTGGGTTGTTCACTGGGTGATCTACAACCTGTGGAAAGACTTTTTAAAGTAGAAAACTATAGTCTAAAGTTACTTATTCACTCATTCAATATGTACCTGCTATGTGGCTGGCGATAGAATGCATCCTAGAGATACAGAACCGAGTAAGACATGGTCTCGTGGGAGCTCGGGACGATATATAACATAATAAAGGGCTGTGATAAAAGCAAGCATAGAGTCCTGCAGGAACACACAGGAGGAGAGTCGGGGAAGGCTCCTTCCTGGAAGTTTGCTGAGAAGAGGAGAGCTACACGGTGATTGAGTCAGTGAGGATGCAGAGAATGAGCAGGAAGAAAAGGGAGACAGCCCAAGTTGTAGGTGAATGGAATCTGTCTCCTCACTGGGGGAGACAAACCGGTTACGGTATTGATTTGGGTTAAAGTGATGTCATTTCTGTCACAGCCTGATGTCGTAGCAGGACCAAACAAATTAGAAGTAATTGAATTGCAACTTCAATATTTCTAGAAATCTGTAACACTGATCAAGGACATCAGCTCACAGATTCTGAATTGTGACATTGGTCAAAGGAAGAGACTGGCAAAGCCACACAGCCTTTAAGAAGCATTTCCGCTCATCCTTCCCTATTAAGATAAATAGACACTTCCCTGTTCTTCAGGAACCACGTGAACAATTTCTCAGTACATCCTGACTTCCCATCCCTGCTCCTGTCAACACTCTTCTTGGTAGAAGTCTGAGGTTGTTTACCAGGGAAGCTTAGTCAGTAGTCAGGGACACACAGTTTTTTACTGGGGGCTGGTAACATAGGCACCTTCTGCCTGACGCTTATCAAAATTTCAGACTCCCAGAAGGAATGTGGGTGCTCCACAGAAACCAGAGTGTTTTAGGTATAGGGAGCTGCTACTCATTCTCACTTGGAGTGGTAGGAGCCATCTGAAATCTAAGTTCCCTGATGCCAGCCAAGCACCAGCTTTGCAGGCGGATTTTTCAAGGATAGCATCAGGCCCACTACGTTAACTCTCGTCTGAACATCAAGTTTGCCCCATCTTTTCCTCTCTTCCACGCCTTCTTGGGTCTTCCGTGAATCTGCATACCACCACCCAGCCAGTCATAGGTTTGTGGAGAGCCTGGGCTCCGGGATCCCTCAGCCCATGTGTGCAGCTTTCCAGGCCACCAGGGATGGGAGAATTGATGTACCCCCTTGTTGGTTTTCCCATTTCCAGAATTTCTGTAAAGTTTCTAGCTAGTCTGCCAGTCTGCTGTTCACTGCAGGAATAATGCAGCATTAGGCTGACAGAGCGTTTCCTGCCGTTTGATACTTTTATTAACAGTGTCTCTGAGCAGAGATTTTTTTCGCTCCCTGCCCCCAAACAAGTCAGCACCCTCCTCTAGCAAAGGTTCTGCTTTTCATGGCCAGCCCCACCCTGGTGGGACTCTTGGGCCCACCGCCCGGGCAGTGGTGGTGCTGCTGATGGTGGATGGGGGCAGCCCGGGCACGCATGCCGCAGACACCCACTATTTCCATTCAGAATCCGCCAGCTTTGTAGGGGTGAGTGCTTCTCCATTTGTTTTCTTTTTGGTGAATTTCTAAAACGTGATATGGTTGTTTTTGACAGTTTTGTCCAATTTCATAGGTGTCAATTGCTAACCTAGATTTCTTTGGTTCAATTTATCTTATTTTGTTGTCCTCTTCCATTTTCAGCCTTTCTACATACTTTTGTTTTAAACATGTCTCTTGTGGACAATATAAATTTGAATTTTATCCCTGAAACCCAGTTTGAGCATCTGTCCTTTAATTTGCGAATTTAAGGTCTTTACGTATATGGCAATTACCATTATATTGGGACTTATTTCTTCCATTTTGTTTGAGAGTTTCCATCTATTTTACTTGCTTTTTTAGATTTTTTTCTCCTCTTCATTGGATAGTTTTCTTATGCTATTTAAGGCACTGTATATTCTCCCTTTTGATTTCTTAAACTTATCAGCATACACTTCTTCCCCAACAAAGTAAAGTATTTTGGAATTCTTTAGCACATTCCCACCACCCCTTAGTTCCTACTCTCCCGGAGCCCCCCTGCTTCATATACGTATCATTTAGGATTTTAGCTATGGTTTGTTTTATATAATTTCCCTCTTTTTGTTTGGTTCTTGCTTTTTTACACAATAATGAATTAAAATTTGGCAAGTGTTTTCTCATTTGTTAATTGCAGATACTCCCACCTTCCTCATATGGCTTTTTGTGGGAAGTAGATGAGATGATGTGAGAGCACTTGGTAGCGTGTAAAGAATCACACAGATAATTGATCATCATTCAAAGGTGGATTTTATTCCAAGGCCTGCCCATTTTCTACTTATTTCAGTCTTTTTTTTTTTTTTTTAATGGAGCCCAATTTGGGGCTTGAGTTTACAACCCTGAGGTTGACCTGAGCTGAGAGCAACAGTCAGATGTTTAACCGATTGAGTCACCCAGGCATCCCTCAATCCCCTTTTCAGAAATCGATACTCATGTTTTCTTTTCTTTCACTCCATTGTACTTTGTCCCTTAGGATTGACAGATGTCTGTGTGTGTTACCAAGCCTGCCCCTCCTGATAGGCTCGGGAAAAGGAGATGTTGTATAGTGTATTTTGTCAGGTTTAGCACACTGAGCAGGGAAAACCCACGGATAAAAAGCCTTCGGTGTGTTGATGACGAATCGTGGAAGGCGGGTGTTGCCGGGAGCTGTCATTTGCCAACAAGAGAAGGAGGAACCGTGAGCTTGCAGCGCTTTAACAGAAGCAAGCCTGGCATGGGAACAGCGAGCTCTGTGATGACGTAGTGGAAGCTTTTTTTAGATACTATTAAGATTGACATGCGCTACTACAGTATATGGCATAATCTAATGGTACCTCACTTTCTTCCTTCCTAGGCTCATATTGGCAACTTATTAACATCAAAATTCTTCAGTTACAAGGATTTTGATACTTTATTGTATACCTGTGCAGCGGAGTTTGACTTTATGGAAAAGGAGGTAAGATGCAATTTCTAATTTTCCTTCCTCAGGCTTTGGTCTATTCATTTTTCATGAAGGGTGCTCCTGTTATCTCAGACTCTCCTCTGTGCTGTTACCTCAGTGGGAAGGAATGGAAAGTGATGGTTTGGAGGAGGACATCCCTACTTCCGTTAGTATGGCATCCCGAAATGTCTGGTCTTTTCTCATTTTGATAATTTAGAAGCAAGCATTCAGACTAGCAATAGTGTTTTGGATGAGTAAACACAGAAGCACTTCAAGTCGCCTCTTTTCAGGGATAGCATTAATTCGGTGCTGCTCTCAAGCTCTCACATTTCCATTTACTCAGTGGTTGTTGATTTGAATGATCTCATTGCTTTGAAGTATCATTGAGTACAAGTTTTTCATTCCAATGATGTTTTTCTTTCTAAAACTATATTCAGATGCTTAAAAAGAAACCAGAGAGTAGTGTGGGGGATTGTGAGATGGAAGTCTGCAGTACTACTTGATGTTCTTGGACAAGCGACTCTCATTTGATTTTCTGTAATAGCTTACCAGTTCCTAGTGGTATGCTGCAAAAAGATATTGTGAGGACCAAATGAGATATGTAGGGAAGTACTTTGATATTTTGATGATACTTTATATAAAATATTATTTTGCAGCAATCAGTGAGCTGGTTTGGTTCAACAAGCATGTATATATGTATGTGTGTCTTTTTTAACACCACCCATGTGGCCCCAATTTATTATGATATTTTATTATCTGTGAAACATTTTCCTGCAAAGCTATGTGTGTGTATGTCTGACACTGGTCAACAATACTCTGTTTCCCTTTGATCCCCGCTGGGTGGTTACCTCTGTGTCCTGAGTTACAGACCAGGGGATGATAGTGTACCACACTGCAAACTCCTATCAACCAGACATTCTGAATTGAGCATGTGCTGCAGATGGACTGTTTACTCCAGTGACCTGTCAGTCTTCATTCCATTGCCAGGTTCTGGCAAATTTCGACACATAGTGGCTAATAAATAGTGTATGAATGATAGTGTTGAGCCCACTGAAAGAAACTAAGGAAGAGTGTCTTCCAAGACATTCAAATGCATGTTCATAGAAAATCAAGACTCCTTCAAGCAAGTGGTAAAGGAAACAGAAGGTAAACATCGGCAGACCATTAGGATATGGCGGAGGTCCTTTGACATTATGGAGGATATTCATGCCACTGTAACCTGAGAGTATGCACCATCAGTTAGATGATAGAAGAAATTTATTGAGGCATAGCATGACGTCAGTTAATTTGAAGACGACCGAGAGCTGTTTGCAGCCTGCTCTGCCGCATCTCCATAGGTAGCTTCACAGGGCCTGTGCAGTAGAGACAGGATGGTGCCAGTTCAGAGAAGGCGTCCATTGTCTGACATAGCCATACACTGGGGAAAACGGAACAGTTTCCCATGATATTATGCTGATACGGAAAGACCTGTATAATGGAATGAACAAAATGGTATGGCCGTATTGACCTATAGTTAACACACATAGAATAAGGTGTAAGAGAGCAAAGTTTTAACAGTGGTTTTTGGCTGGAGAGATAATGATTAACTTGTTTTGCAATTTACATCTTCAAAATTTTCAACAATAATCATATTTCAATTGTATTCTGCTTTAAAGTAAAGTAAAAACAATGAGGGGGATCTTTCCTTTCTAGATATGGAAACGGTTAGCAACACTCTTTAAAGTACAAGGATACTAAGACAGGAACATTTTTATGGCCAAAAATAGACAACGCTTGGATAGATCCATGTGTATGTACTTAACTATGTTTATGTGTATTTACTTAATAATGAAATGAAGCGAGAAGCACAGATAAATAGTTAAAAAGTGCATTATTTAAATATTATTTGAAATACGGGATTTGGGGTGAGGAGTCAGGTTAAAGCCTTGTGTCACATTATGCAATAAACTTCAATTCAGTTAATTAACGTGTCAATATTAAATGAAGCCTGAAAAATTTGAGAGACATTTCAATGAGTATTAGCTTCATTTTTTTAATGAGCATAATAGCAGCGCAAAGCACATATGAGAATGATTAATAGATTTGACTGCGTGTAACTTAAAACATCTGTACCTTAAATATTATAAAAATTAAAAAGCAGATGACTAACTGGGATGACTCTTGCCATAAATATAACAAATGGATCTAGGGATTAATGTAGTAAGTATAGGAGATTGTCCAAATCAGTAAAAAATTACTGAGGACTCTTACCCTTCTCCACCACCAAAAATACATCCCCACTCCCACACACATATGTAGAAATGGGGGAAGGATATGAACAGACAACCCATTGGGGAGGAAATGCTGATAACTGATTAACATGTGAAACTGGTTGTTGTCTTTATTTTTTCTGCATTTTTAGTTTTCACGATGAGCATATATAACTTTTATGCTTAGAATAAAACCAAGCATTCGTAGAAAAAGAACTTGTAATTCTAGTAGCACACACGCATGTATACACACGCATACCCCTCTCCCTGTGTGGTTTGTTTCATTTGCATTTGTCCTTGTGCATACACTCTATCTGATGGATCTTTTGGAATTGAGGAGATTGTATAATTTTATTCCCTTTATATTAATACTTTTATATATTAAGTCGAGTCCCTTCTCTTGGTTTCCTGCTGAGAGTTATACTGATCTTAGTCACTTCTTGTTCCTCCACTACTTCCCCCCATTTCTAATTTATTGTAATACTATAATCCGTGACATTATTTTACTTCCCATATACTCTCCCCTCTGACCCCACTGTAAGAGTCCCATTGCACGTTCAGTGTCTGCACACGTGACCACTCATGCTGTTCTGTCCCCTTTACATCCCCGTCCTTGTCGCAGTTCTGTAGGTTGGTGTTTTTAATGCTGCATGTTCTGGGATTGAAGCCTCTCCTGCCATTTCTTGATTGGGTGAAGCTTGCTCTGCAGTGGATTCCTCAGGAAGGGCCATAGGAGCCATAATCCTTGAGTTTTTACATGTTCAAATATTTTATCAGTGGCTTTTATACGGGAGGGTCTGGCTAGATGCAGAATCTTCGGCTCAAGGGGTTTTCCTTGACTGTCTTAAATAAATTACCCCACCATCTTCCAGCCTAAGTGTTGCTGTCAAAGTTTGATGCTAATCTGATTTTTTCTTTTTATGAGAAATATTAAAAAATACCTTTTTTTTAAAAGATTTTATTTATTTATTTGACAGAGAGAGAGAAACAGGGAGAGAGGGAACA